CTCAAGGATGTAGGTAAATCCTCTATAAAGTTCATAGTGATTACCTCCCAAGTCTGCTGAGGAATAGGTAATGGCTGTAAAAGTCCTGGTTTAGGAACATGCTCTACTTTAGCTGTTGACATATAGAACAAGACCTGATGTAAGTTGCCACCATAGATTTCAACTTGGGCCAGTAGAAACAAGCTCTAATCCTCTGATAAGTAGCCTGAATTTCAGAATGACCCCCATGAGGTGAATCATGTAGGGTTTGAAGAATCTGTAATCTTAGAGCTCCAGCAGCTCCAATATAAACTCTATCCTTAAATCTAAGGATACCTCTAGAGTATTTCCATCTAGAATCTGCAATAGGATTGACAGTTAAGATAGAAATCCATTCAGTAACTCTGAATCCTCCTTATAGCTTTCCTCAACCTGCTGAACCCAACTAGGAATAATCAAGGTAGTACCCAATGCAAAACAGTGAGCTTGATCTTCCCATTGTCTAGAGAGTGCATCAGCTACTATGTTGGACTTACCTTTTCTATATTGAATAGAATAATCCAAGCCCAATAATTTTGTCAACCCCCTCTTTTGAATAGCAGTTGCTAACTTCTGTTCCAACAGATATTTAAGAGGTTCATGATCTGTTTTAATTATAAAAGGAGTGCTTTCCAGATAATGCCTCCTTTTAGAAACTGCTAGTAAAATAGCCAGGTACTCTCTTTCATATATGGAGAGAGCAGCATGTCTAGGGCTAAGAGCCTTACTAAGGTAAGCAATAGGTCTGCCATCTTGAGTTAAAACTGCCCCAATGCCTCCTGAACTGGCATCTGTTTCTAAATAAAACTGCTTACCAAAATCTGGTAAAGCTAGAACTGGAGCAACACACATAGCTTGCTTCAAGTCTTCAAAAGCATGTAAAGCTTCACTGCTCCATTTAAAACTATCCTTCTTAAGCATTTGTGTCAAGGGTTTACTGATTGTTCCATAATCTTTTATAAATCGTCTGTAATATCCTGTCAATCCCAAAAATCCACGCAAAGACTTTAAAGATTTAGGAATAGGCCAATTACGCATAGCCTCCACCTTAGCAGGATCAGTTGAAACTCCAGCAATTGATATAATATGACCCCAAATGCTCTACCTGAGTGTCCAAAGAAACATTTGGACATCTTGGCAAATAACTGGTTAGTTTGCAATATCTCCAAAACCAGTTCCAAATGAGTAAATATGATCCTTCATAGAGGTGTTGTAGACTAGGATATCATCAAAAAATACCAAGACAAATTTTCTAAGAAATGCATTAAACAAGTCATTCATTAGAGCTTGAAATATAGCAGGGGCATTAGTAAGCCCAAAAGGCATTACCTTGAATTCATAATGACCCTAATGAGTTCTGAATGTTGTCTTGTAAATATCCTCAGCCTTAATTCTGATTTGCCAATAACTAGACCTGAGATCAATTTTTGAAAAGTAAACTGCCCCATGTAATTCATCTAAGAGATCCTCCACCACAGGAATAGGGAACTTGTCCTTCACAGTCATACTATTGAACTTTCTGTAATCAACACAGAATCTCCAAGTCCCATCCTTCTTCTTTGTAAGAAGACAAGGAGAAGCAAAAGGACTTTTGCTAGGTTGAATAATAGAAGAGGAGAGCATGATAGCTATCTGTTTTTCCACTTCTTCCTTCTGATTATGTGGAAATCTGTAAGGTCTTAAATTTATAGGAGCAGACTCAGGCTTTAGAGGAATTGCATGATCATGATTCCTTGTAGGTGGTAGACCTATAGGTTCAGCAAAAACAGACTGAAATTTGTCCAATAGAGGCTGTAAAGCTGCAGGAACAACCTTAGAATTTTCAGACATAGAGAACAATACCACATGGCCCAAAATAGCAGAATCAGAGGCTGTCATTTTTAACAGAGTAGCCCCTGAAATTTGTTGCAAACAATTTGAGGGATGCTGGCCATGTATAATAATATTTTCATCTTGGTCAACAAAACTGAGAGTCAATTTGTTGAAGTCCATCAAAATTGGACTGAATAACTTCATCCAATCCACCCCCAACACCATATCACTGCCACCCAATTTTAGGAGTCTAAAGTCATGAACAAAAGAATGTCCTTGCATCTGCTATTCAACCTTATTACACCTTACTGAACTATAAAGTTGTTATCCATTAGCCACTATAATAGCCAAAGGATAAGGTGTATTCACTAAAATACCAGCATCAGCCCACTGAGGTGTTAAGAAACTGTGGGTACTACCACTGTCAATCAAAATATTCAATGGTCTCCCTTGAATAGTACCCTGAATTCTTAATGTGTTATGACCAATACACCCAGTAATAGCATTCATTGATATTTCTAGGCTCTCCTCCTCCTGTAGATTCTGCTGTTCCAAATCAGTAGGTAAAATTTCTTAGGGTATAACAGTGTCATCCTCAATCATCATATTCAACTGTTTAACTTTACACTGATGGCCTGGAACAAATTTTTCACCACATTTAAAACATAAATTGTTCTGTCTCCTGTAGTCTATTAGGTTCTGTTTTTGTGGATTATTGGTTGTATTCTTCTGTGGTAATGGCAGCTGGTTAGGTTTAGAACCAAGTAGAGGGTTAGAATAAACTGGATTTTTAACAAAAGGTCTCAATCTTTTGCTTTCAAATTCAACAGATAGCTCATATAATTTAGCTTGCCTGCTTGCCTCAAACAATGTTTTAGGGTCTAGAGCTTTGACTCTATGTTTAATGTCTTCCCTTAATCCACTAATGAAACAAAGAGACAAAAAATTCCTCACCTAAAGTAGGATTTTGTAAAAGCATGTGAGGTTGTAGTTCTTCAAATCTATCTAGATACTCCTCTACAGACCCTTTCTGGACCAATTTTGTAAACTCCTCCACTATATCAACAAAGGCATTATCACAAAACCTATGACATAAATCTGCCTCAAACTCATGCCATGTCACATGATGTTTTTGCATAATATAACCATCAAACCAAATCTCTGCTTTACCAGTTAAATACATTGTAGCTACTTCCACTCTTTGCTCATCAGCAATATTACATAAGGAAAAATATTTTAGACATTTTTGTAGCCAACCTCTTGGATTACTTCCCTCAAAAAAAGATAACCCAATTTTAGGTCTATGTAGCATAATCCCTGACATACTAGACCCCCTGTACCTCTTTTATCCACCTCTAAAGTCATTAACTGATTTCTAGCAGCACTATTTTCCCCCATTTGGTTATCATTTTTGAAGCTAGATAGATGAACAGGCAAATCGTTTGGTTTAGACTTAAGAATACCGGGTTCATCCGATTTAGAAGTAAACCGAGTCTTATCATTAATTACTGTCACCTTAACAGGTTGTTTGTTACTCATATTAGATGAATCAAGGGTCTGTACATGATCCTCAGCAGATTGTTCTTGGTCCTCCTTCCTACCAGTCAGAATCTTCAAGATTTCCTCAACATATCCGTGATTCGTAGCCATCCTAGACTCCAGTGCAGAAATCATGTTATCCTGAGTCTCGCACCATTTAGGAGGATTAGACTCGTCCTTTCCTTATTTCACCAGTGATGTCAATTCTTCCATCTGTTTCTGCAACCCAGCTAAGTCTTCTGCCATATTCTGAATTTTCTTGGGCATGCCACCAACTTGCCAGAAACCGAGACTCTGATACCAATTTGTGATGAATTGATATAGTTTAGGGAATTAGAGAAGAAGAAGTCGTAGAAAAGGGTAGAATAGAGATACAGAAATAAGATTTCATTCAAAAATATGATTGATTGGTACTCATTTTATTTGTTTACAAGGTACCCTCAATTCTAACTAAATGTCAGCTGTAGATTCTAAAATAACCGTTTTGTTGTTATCTCAGATATTGGGCCACCAACTGGGCTTGCTGCTTTGCTCGTGGACTTAGCTCTCCTGATGGTAATTACCTCCTCGTGCTCCTCACATGCTCATTAATTAGGTAACTCTTTCCCCCAATTCACTATCAATCCCTAACCCTTGATTCCCATTTCCCCCAATTTCTTCGCGTCTTTCGTTTCTTCTCTCTTCTCTCCCGATCGTGACAGATAGACATTTCATAAAGGAGAAACTTGACAGTGACCTAATTTGCACTCCCTATGTGTCCAATGGAAATCAAGTTACAAATATACTTACCAAGGGGCTACCTGGGAAGTATTTTCAGAAACTAGCAAGCAAGCTGAGGATGGAGGATATCCATTCTCCAGCTTGAGGGGGTGTCAGAAAATAAATTCCTAAATTAGAAAGATTATGTGTAGTTAGATAGGATTCTATGAATATTTTTTAGTAGTTATAATCCCTAACTTTAAGGGATTACATCTTTCCCTAGAATTAATTACTTTCCTAGCTTAAGAGTTTCCTAAAGTTAAGATTATAGCTTTTATATATAACTGTAGCCCTTCTACAGCGCATACCTAACCATCTTTCCAAAAGAAAAAAAAGACTCCTTTCTTTTGCTGGAGATGGCAACATGTAACAAGAATAATAAAACCATAAAAAAAAACTATACCACATGGCTAACGATTTACAGAGCTTTCTTACAAAACAAAACAAGACGGCACAATCATAAATTAAAAAATCATTGATAAATCGAACATAAGTAAACCTATTCTTTATACATCAATCAAAAAAGCACAGAACAACGCAATGAAACTTTTTATACAAGAATAACTTCCAAACAAAAGGATGGATATGTACAGGAAATTCAAGAACAAAAGAGTATTCTACAATAGACTACCTTATGAAATGTATAGTAATTTAGGGTGCTCCTTGAGGTCACTAATATCATAGATGCACATGAACTGGTACTTTCTCAAGTCATTGGCAAAACACAGATAATTACAGATGTAAGCTGTTGGTGTATTTTTGAAGCAATTTAACGCAATATACGACTACATGCTAATCAGATTCAATATGTTCCCAACTAAAATAACTAAATAACTGAACTTTCTAGATAATTGAACAAATGAAAAGAAAACCTGTAAACAACTCCAATATTTGGTGTCAGACACTGTATTTTCTGAACCTGAAATCAGACATCACACATCCACATTTCGTGGTAATTAGCAACTATCCATCAGTTTGGAATCAGAATAGATTTTTTAATCAATTTATACATTATAAAGTTGAATTGCTTCAAAGGAAGCAACTTACTCTACCAGGAAAAGAAGAATAAAGCAACATCAGGTGTTTACTTTTTATATGATAATATGGAGCCTCCCAAATTTTCTCAAAAAAGAAATAATAGGCAATGAAGCAAAAACAACCACTGCACTTTTATATTGCTCGGGTATGGGTAAAATTAACCATTCTCTTATCTTTGGTAAACCCAATACCCGAGCTCACATCGATGTAACTAGAAAATAAAGCCGTCAAAAGAAAACCCAGAAATTCAAATAAACCCGTCTAAAGCAAAACCGATAATTCAAATGCAGATAGAAAGGGCGAGCGTATGGTACTAAATACTAATATACTCACAGAGGTTTCATCAACCAAGATTGAAGGCAGTTTCTTCTCAGTAGCAATCACTACCCCATTAGCAGCTGTAATTCAAAACTATTTATTAGCATAAGAGTAAAACCCACCAGCATCTATTTGACTACTTGTAAAATCCATAAACCCTTTCTTTCTCTTAAGAACATGAAAGAAACCTTTGATTCCAAGAGATGTTTGACCAGACCCAACTGCCGTCAAGGCGTGCTCGATCTGTACTAGCTTGCCTGAAGGACTATTAAAAACACACCAAATAAAAAAAAATCTTTTATTAGAAAAAATATTCCATTTACAAAGTTATCAAGGGATGAAGACATTACCTAAAAGTTGTGAGAGAAAATGAATATTGACTGTCACCCATGTTTTTGATCTACGAAGAAGATGGCAATGAGAGAAAAGAAAGGAATTACTTTCGGGGATGTCTTTGAATGGAAAGGGAGGAAGCGAAAGAGAAAATATTGCACTTCCACTTTATATGGTTTCCATTTTTCTTGCTGAGGAAGAATGTTTTCAGAGATGTGGGTTGGGCTTTGTTCACACAAACCATTTTTAAACACCATCGATGATCCATGGGGTAAAGCTCATCACTATATAAATTATGGTTACATATTAAAAATTTTGGTATATATCTCACCCTTTTTACTATGCATCAATCTAACGTCTTATCAATTTAAAAAAAAAAACCTTTTACCAAAGCTTTTGAAACTCTGGTTAAATTAATATTTTTATCAAAATATTAATTTAAATATTAAAATTTATAGTCATTCGCTTCAAATTTTGATTTTTGTAATCAAAATCGTATATCAAAATATCAAAAGAGCTTAACATTTATTAAAAGATTTTAGCATATTTATATCTTATATTTTATGATATGATCTTAAAAATTAAAGTATATCGCTACAAATTTATAATATATTTTTAAAAAAATTTCAATCAATATCAATCAACTTTCGGTTAGAGTTTCTAACTAATACAATTATCAAAACTTTAAGATAATGTGTTAGTGTATTTTGGTTTATCTAAATGTGTTATGGATTAAAATTTTATAACTTTCGTTATAAAAAAATTTATTACTTTCTATCAAATCTTTTTAAGCTGGATAAAAATGTATGTCTTATAAATATATACATATTCAATTTTTAATGAATTATTTAAATATATAGAGTATACATTTTAATATTTTTATTAAAATACCTAATTAATATTACTTTTTATTTTACCAAACATATATTCAAATAAAAAATTTATATCACCTTAATTAATATTTTACCTAAATACCTTAGGATTAATTATAATTTTTTAATAGTTTATGATAATTATAAAAGTAATATTTATTAAGAATTAATTATTAATAATATATATTTTACAAATATAACTATTTAAATTTTTTTAATAACTAATAATAATTTTTTAATTGAACGGGTGAATTACAAATTTTTAATTGAAAAGATAAATTTATTTATTTTATTAAAAAATGTCTAGAATGGTTACCAAATTTGATTAACTTTACCGAGGTGAAGGTGCCCCTTTAGGGCTAGGGGGCTTAGACAAGGGGATCCACTTTCCCCTTACTTATTTGTTTTTGCTATGAATATCTTATCTAGAATGCTCAATTTGGCTGCAAATAAAAAAATCTTTGGATTCCATCCTAAATACAACAAACTAGGCCTCACTTACCTTTCTTTTGCGGATGATCTACTGATTTTTTGTAAAGGTAACGTTAACTCGGTGGTTGGTGTGCTTAGTGTGCTTGACCAATTCCAACCATTTTCAGGTCTTAAGTTCAATTCCTCTAAATCAGAGCTCTTTGTTGCGGGTATTCCCATAAGCATCATTGACATCATTAAACGGGTTTCTGGCTTTAAAATTGGCCCTCTTCTTGTCAAATATCTCGGTATTCCTCTCGTCTCTCATAAGCTCAATGACAAAGATTGTGAAGCTTTAATCACCAATATCAAACAAAGGCTACAAATCTGGTCTGGTAGGAACTTAAGCTATGCAGGAAGACTTGAATTGATTAAAACTGTTCTTTATAGTGTTTGTAATTATTGGTGTAGACAGCTTATGCTGCCAACTTCTATCTTAAACAAGGTGGAGCAGCTAAGCTCCCGTTTCTTCTGGAAAGGCACGAATACAAAGGCTGTTGGAACCAGAGTTAGTTGGGCACGTATCTGTCTTCCCAAGTCTGATGAAGGCCTTGGTCTGAAAAATTTAAAAAATTGGTGCAGGGTATGTACTTTTAATCTTATCAGGAAGATTCTAGCAGGAAATGGATGCCTTTGGGTTGCATAGCTTAATAGTTATGTCTTCAAGAACCAGAATTTCTGGCACTTTCAAGCTGGAGCAACTGTTAGCTGGAGCATTAAACAGATTCTTAAACTGAGAACTGATGCTTTCTCGCTCCTCACTACTGGTCATTTGCAAACCAAAGATTTTTGGGAAATTACTCGAACGCAAGAGCAGAAGGTTCTTTGGCATCAATTAATATGGTTCCCAATGCATGTTCCCAAGCACAGTCTGATTGCTTGGATGGCTCTCCTCGATCGTCTTCCTACCAGAGATCACCTCAAACGAATGGGAATCTGTTCTGAAGGTATTTACGTCAATTGTAACTCCTTCCAAGAGACACGGGACCATCTCTTCTTCATCTGCCCTTTGGAAGCCAATCTCTGGAGAGCTATACTGTTGCATAATGGTATGAATACCTCTTTCACGTCTTAGGATAATTTTATTGATTAGGCAATTTCTTCTTGGAAAGGAAGTCTCTTATCACTATCATATTGAAGCTTGCATGGTCTGCTTACATTTACTTTCTGTGGCAAGAACATAACAACAGGATTTTGTCGGGACGTCAAAAAAATGTTGAAGCCTTGCTCAAAGATATTAAGGATGTCGTAGCCATTCGTATAAGGGGCAAATCCATCAATAGACTTGATAGCATTAACCTTACTCTATGTAATCCTTGGAATATAACTTAGTCAATCTTTTTTTGTTTATTTTCTGTTAATAGTTTCGTTTGTTGTTTGATTGGTTGTAGCAACTCAACTATTTTGGGTAATAAATTTTTGAATTATAAAAAAAAAGTGCCCCTTTAAACGAATTTTACAAATTTGGTTAGAGAAGTAAGTTAACTTCCCACCATAACCAAATGCTAACCACTTTCTGCGCAGTCGAATTTCATCTTCAATCTTATTCATTGTCGGAATTCGTTAAGAGATTAGCAGCCAGGGGATGATAAGAAATATCCGATCGAGGCAGTGACCACGTTACGACGCACAGGCATGTGCAGTGATCTCAGCTCTTCTCCTCTTATTTTCAGTATCTATCCTCTACACCCATCTTTCTCTCTCTTCCAAATCGGACATGTATCCTCATACCTCCTATATAGACGACGGCAACAACAACAACGCCGTTTTCCCCCACTATCTCTCTCCTCTCCGACTCCGAAAATGTTGCCACCAGCACCATCACCTCTTCAACCGACGACAAATTTGACGAAAATGACACCCTCGAAGAAAAAGAAATAACTGATGACATCGGCAATGAAGTTGAGCAAGAGGAGCCAGAAATGACGACAATGAATAAAAAAGACAAGATCGTTTCCTCTGGTCATTTTTAATTCGACCATTTAAGTGGGTCAATTAGAAGAGCTTTCAATAAACGTTCGACCCAAGATTGGGATTACGATGGTGGGTTTTTGAACGATGGGTTTGGAGGGGATGATGATAAAATTAAGGCAGCCTTTGTGGAAAGTATTGAAGATGCTTTGTTGGTGAAGAAAGTTGCTGGGAGAAAAGTGAATCCTTTGAGGGTGAAATGGGGTGATTGGTTTGATAGGAAAGTGATTTCTTGAGAAGGGATAGAATGTTTAAATCCAATTTAGAGATTTTGAATCCATTGAATAATCCTTTGTTGTAAGACCCTGATGGGGTTGGTGTTACTGGCTTGACTAGAGGGGATAAAATGGTGCAAAAGTGGATTTTGAGTGAGTTCAAGAAGGTCCCTTTTACTGGGAAGAAGCCCTTAGGGATCTTCAAGACTGGCTCGGAGGTTAAGAAAGGCAGTATGAGCAAGAAAAATAAAAATGCGAGGAATGTGTTAAACGAAAGAGACAGTAGCAATAGTGATAAAGATGATTTGAGTTCAAATACAAGTTGGAATGAGAGTAAAATTAGGAAGAATGAAGCCAAGAATGTAGATTTAGAGGCTCATAAGAGTAACACCGAGTTTTTTAGGCATATATATGCTGACGGAAGGAGATGTGGTTACTATCCTGGATTGGACTCAAGGTTGTCTTCTACTGATTTTGTGGATGCATTTTTTAAGAAAGGGAAGTGTTATATTAGAGTTTTTATGATATGGAATTCCCCTACGTGGATGTATAGTGTTAGGCACCAAAGAGGACTAGAGAGTCTGTTTGCTCAGCATAGAGATGTTTGTGTCCTAATGTTCTCTGAAACTATTGAGCTTGATTTTTCCAAAGACAGCTTTGTGAAAGATGGGTAAGTTTTGTTCTGGTTCTGCATTTTGATTTATCATTTTTATGCTTCTATTAATGGTTTCTTGTTCATCACAGTTACAAAGTTGCTGTGGCAATGCCAAACCTTGATGAATTATTGAAAGATACACCCACGTATTTGCTTCCGTGTGGTTTGAATGGAGAAAGACAGAGTTTTATGCTACCCATTATAGTGAGCTTGTACGACTTGCTGCCCTTTACAAGTAAGCCTGTTCATCTATGCACATGCTTTTGTGAGGTTTATGATGCAATTTTTAATGGTGTTATCAATTTGCTGCCATAATTGTTTTAATCGTTGCTACATGGCAGACTTCACTTGGTAGGCTGCTACCATTTAGTTTCAATGTTTACACTGTTTTCTTTCTGCTCTTATTACTGCATGTTTATCTGTTTTGCAGATATTGTTGTCATAACCATTTTTTTTTTAAAAAATCAATATTATTTTAAAAAATAATTATGACTTTTATTTGAAAATTAGAGATTTATGAATTAAATTGAAAAGGAGTCGACATCGACCTTTGGGTTAGGTAGGTCGAATACTTAAAAATGTCTTTTAAAAAACAATTTTAAGAAAAACCGTTTTTTAGACAAATTTTGGTATGCGCTTACCAGAAACTTAATTTTACGGGTCCAGGACTCGGTTACGCGTGGGAAAGGATAAGCACTCCCACAACGCCCAAAATTGGTACTTAAATCGCTTATACGTTGTCGTAAATGGTGGAAAGTATGAATCGAATATAAAGTTAAATTATGATCCATTTATTAAAATTTGATTAACTTACTTCAAATTAATTATTTAAAAGAAAATCTTTTTACTCAATAAGAAATCTTGAAATTCACAATCCTCCTTCGGGAGAGCTATCTCAACCATTTCTCATTCGTAAAAGAAAATTTTATCTTCGAATAACGCATATCGAAATAAAAATGAATATTGATATTTGCATAAAAATAAAATAAATTAATAAAATGCATTAAATCATTCACATAAAAATATTTAATTAATAAAATAAAATAAATTTATTTCAAGTCTTATTTTGTTCGAAAGTCGTATCGAATTGTACCACTTTGATCAAGTGATACTTTTCACGCCCGTTCTACAAATATGTGCTCTTGAAAATATTCGGATAATATTAATCGATAGATAATGAATAAACACTTAAAACAAATACAATTTGAAATCTATGAAATAAAATATTCACAATACACATAGCTAATAATGTCTATTTAAAATAATACATATATATAGCCCTAATATACAAAATATATATACATGTAGGATTAGAACAAATTAAGATATTACAAATCAAAATACAAATAATAAAAACAATAAATAATCATATTCAATTTAAAGAACCAAAATAGCAAAAACAGAAACTTAAAGGACTAAATAGAAAAAATAAAAACTTAAAGGACTAAAATAGAAAAAATAGAAATTTAAAGGACTAAAATAACAAGAACAAAAATATAAAGGACTAAAATAGCAAAAACAAAAATTCAGAGGGTTGAACTAAGAATCTAAATAAACCAAATTCCCAATATTGAAAATATTAAATAGTACAGGTACTAAAAGTGAAAATAACCCATAAATAAAACTTAGGACTAAAATGAATTAAAACATGAACATGAAGGTCGAATAATAATTAAACTAAATGTAAAACAATGACTAAAATAGAATATTTACAAATATGATGGCCAAATTTGAAAAACAATAAAGATTATACACTACATGGAATCAGTGACTAAAAAATAAGAATGAAAAGATAAGGGCTCAAATTCGAATGTTAGTAAAAATACATAACCTATGCAACTAGTGACTATACAAATATCGTGACTAAACTCAAATATTAACATGAATAATAAAACATATAATAACGGGACTAAAACATAAATAATGAAACATAAGTGCTCGAAATCAAACAAAGTAAAACTTCATTAAATGTCTGAAATAAAACGTTACAAGGTAGCAGGGACCTAAATTATTATTAACCCATCCTTGAAAACACGTTGAAGGTCCCCTTAAACGACACCATTTCGGCTATGCTATATATATTTTACCTAAGCCAAAATAGGCTCATTCATCTCATTTGTTTAGCTTCCCATTTCTGAAAGAGAGAAAAGAGAGAGAGAGAGAGAGAGATTCAACCAAAGTAAACGAACCTAGAATCTGGTGGAGTCTCCGCAACGTCGGCCGCCATCTATGGGTGTCTGAAAAGAGAGAGGAATACATTATTCGAAGTGTCTTCTCACCCTGGGTACGGGTCCGAGCATGGTTTGGCCTAAAAATGGCTCAAACGTTGTGGATCTATGAAGAAACCCTTCGGTTTCCATGGTTTTGGCGACCCTTGGTTTTCATCGACGTTCAACCAAGGTAAAGGGGTTTCTCTCTTTGCGATTTGCTTTTATATATTTTTCGAATCTCTATCTGAAAACTCAACCCCCTCCTCTCTGTTTTATTTTTATTTTGGCTTCCCCGAAAATCCCCGAATCCATTCTCTCTTTTTTTTCTTTCTCCTTTTTAATCTGATAGCCCCCCGTGATTTGAAATAACCAGAGATTTTCCTGGGGATTTTCTGTTGCACAAATAAAATTTTATTATTTTTCTCTTTAACCGATTTGTCATGTAATGACTGATGGGTTGATGGTTGTCATTGTGTTGGAGCAGGTGGGAACAGTCGACGACAGTATCAGAACTGGCGGCGGTGGCAGACATCATATCCTTAGGGTTAAGGTTTCAGAAACCTTAGGGGGTCGGGTCGGATTCGCATTTAGGCTTGGATTGGGTTGATGTAATCGAGTCAGAGCTAGATCTGAATTTGGGCTGAAACCGAGTCTAAGTACTGTTGGTCTTCGGTATTGGGTCGGGTTGAATGATGGGTTGGCTGTTGGTAATCTGGTTTGTTGGGCTCATTGGGCTTCGGGTTGTGAAGCCTGCAAAATGTAAATAGATTTTGTAGTAGTAATAATAATAATAATAATAATAATAATAATAAATAATAAATATTATTTTTAGACCCGGACAAAAACGGGTGTCTACAGTTGCCCTTTTTTGCACATTCTTGTGTTAACAAGAATAGGGCAAAGATGAAAAACACAACAAGTTTTTTTCCGGTTCTCTTTTTTCGTTTTGAATTTTGATATGTTTGTTGGTGGGCTGTCCCTTTTTCCCATATATATGGGGTAAGGGGGAGGTAAGATAGTAGGC